TAATCTATTTATTCACATAAACTTTCAAATTTTGACCTGATGGCCCAGTAAAGAAGATTATATCATATTACAATGTCCCAAAATACGGTTAGTTAGAAGAATGAAAACAGAATACCTGTTTATAACGGAATAACTACATGTTTGGCTCATAAATGCTTTTAATCTTATGGTAGACACCATGGTGGTAGACAAGCTGATTTTCGACTTTTTTTACAAGAGATTGTATGAAACGTTTGCCTACCTGGACCCCGTTTCAGAAAGCTATCGTAGCGCTACGACTGTCGTTCCTCCTATGCTTTAACATAGACTTACGGCCATCGTAGTTCTACGATAGCTTTGTGGAACGGGGCCCTGGGTCCCGATCCCGATATTTAGTCCCTAAAATATAGCTTGATAATAAATGAAGTGCATGATTTGTACTTGAATTTTGTTCACCCAAAAGCTGACAAGACAGGTGTCCTGCAATTACAGTTTAAACCAGGGCCTGGGCTTAAATACTGAAAATCACTGTTCTAGTGATGAAATATTTGAACCATATTTAAGCCCAGGGCTTAAATTCGAAAATGCATAATATTTTGAAAAAAAAGGAAAAGACTCAGGATTTTTAAAAACTCTTTAATCAGGAAACTGGTCTATAAATTAAATATTTAAAGTTATGAAAATGTTTACTCGATTGAGTATATGTGAACTTGAATGATAAAGTTGACAGTCTTTAATGCTAAACACGAACTTCAAACTATCATGAGAGGATTGACTGACTAAGACAATGACTAGTTTCTACAGTGAGTATTTGGAGCCACACTGTTTTCAGAGTTCAAAGCTGTGAAAACGTTCACTCGAGTGAGTATTTCAACTGCGAACGGAATGATGAAGTTATAACAGTCTATTTAATGCAAAACATGAACTTCAAACTAATAGTTTGAGTTGAGTTTAGTTTGGCTTTACGTCACATCGGCATTATTCCAGCCACATAGTGACGAGAACAAGTCTGAATTCATGAACATTTTAACTTCAAACTAACATGACAGGAGTGACTGACTGATATCAAAGTCTCCGCGTTTAGAAAGGGACGTCACTCTTAACACCCAAAATTAAATCCAAATTTAAGCCCATGGGCTAAATGTCGCGTGGCCTAAACACGGGACTTCTCGGTACCTAGTTGATTCAATACAACCCAGCTAACACACACCGTTTTCGCAACGTTGTGGGAAGGTTGTAAATTGGCAACGTCATGACACGACGTTGCAACAACGTTAGTATTGCCTCATTTTATAACGTTATGTCACAACGTAATAACAACATTGCAAATTTACGCTGAGGAAACGTTGTGCTTTGGTCTCCTCACAACGTGATAGCATTTCTAATAACTTGGTGTCACGCTAGAGTGTTTGAGATTCACTTTGAGATTCTTTCTTCACTATTCAGCTACAGCTTCAGAAAACACACGAGCAAAACAACATGCAAATTGGCAAATAAACATTGAAGTGAATTTCTGCTTTGTTTTTTATGTACTGTTCACTACTATTAAAAACTATTCAACTATTAACGTTAAATAGAACGTTAGGACAACGTAAAATACGTTAGCATCAAATAATTTTTACCCCGTGGCGACTTGAAAGTAACGTATTACAACGTCAGGCCACAACGCTGTGACAACGTGAAATTGTTAGCTGGGTATACAAAAATGTCCGAAACAACCAAAATTTAGTTCAACATTCATCAGTGGCTGGGAAGCTGTCATTTTAATCACACACCCACCAGCGCTCGTCGCACAGTGTTCGTATTCAGGCACACGAGTGAATTGTATTTGATGTCGCTTGTTCAGTGCCATGTCAAAAATGATATTTTTATGTTTGATTCTATTGTATCGTGTATAGGGTAAATGTTGTGATCTCAAAGGCTTATAAATATTTTTGACACGAGGTCAGCCTCAGAAATAGTATCCTTATCCTGTCAGCAAATTGTCATAGGTATTAATACATTGTATAAACAAGTACAGCTAGTTTCGGTTATCACCCAGAAGGATAATTATTACACTCTCTCCAAAAAGAAACGCATAGGTGTATTTTCACGAATTTAATCTGCTAACTTTAAAGTGAGATAACCGATGTAATTCTGAATCAGTTGAAGCCAAATTCCACAGTATAAAAGTTGACGTTCACGTACGCGTCGGCCGAGGTCATCCCACACCGTAATGTTCTCATTCAGAAGAGAATGCTGGAACAGCTCCTCTGGCGGTCAATGAACGGATCGATGTGAATCCTGAAGATTTCGTCTCTGTACCGAATAGCAGCTAAATTTCACACACAGTTAGGCGCCCACACTTAGATGTCTGTGTGTAGGATATGGCTCCCCGCATCATACCACCCTTATATCGATCAACTTGGGCTACACGATTCTATGCAAAACGTTCATTTTGACGTCGATAAAAACGTACCCTTCCATCACGCCACTGAAGCCGAAAGCGTGATTCATCACTGAACCATACGCGTCACAAGTTTTGTAGATTCTTGAACCGAATGTTATTGCATCACTAGACCCGTCGACGTAGATGTAGTCGTCGCAGCACAGGACCAACATATGGTCTTCTGGCTCGAAGTCCAGCTGCTCGTAAATGATTACGAAAGGTTTGCGCCGACACTCTCCTCAAACCAGGCATTGCACTAGCAGTTGCTGTGACTGATTCCGCAAATAAAGTACCCGGACGTACCTATCTTGTACTGCAGTGGTTAGCCGTGGTCTGCCACTGCGCGGACGATCTTGCGTAGAATTGGTTTGTTGTTATCGCTTCCATAAACGACTGGTGGTACTCTGGTGAACATTTAGGTAACGTCACTTAGGAGACTCTCTAGCCCCCAGACGTCCATATTTGAAATTTCATAAAAGCAATATCACCTGTGCGTTTCTTTTTTTGGGAGAGTATACAGAAATACGTTTACGGAATTGGATCGCATTTGTGTCTATTTTAGTTACATTATTGATAATTAGTGTGTCTGTGCAATATTTTCCTAATCTAAAATTAAGCACCTACCTTTCTTTTGTCAGCATATTAAGTGCAACAAAAATACGTCATTTAGCATCTCTCAAAAATAATATAGAAAAAGTCTTTTTTCAACAAATGCATCAAGCTGAAATCAACAACAGACTATCACTAACTGATATCATTATGAATGGATTCTTTTTCGTTGAGTAAAGCACGCTATCTTCGGTCACGAGGTTACTTAATTACAATATGGACCCGTGAAGATCCGGGTTAGGTTTGGTCTTGCCGGGATCGGGTGGTCAGGCTCGCTGACTTAGTTGACACATGTCATCGTATCCAAAATGCGTAGATCGATGCTCATGCTTTTGATCACTGGATTGTCTGGTCCAGACTCGATTATTTTACAGACCCGCCGCCATATAGCTGGAATATTGCTGATTGCGGCGTTAAGCAACAAACCAGCCAGCCAACCAACTATACCCGACACATCATTATCTTTCTAAGAAGGAAACATTTCCCAGTAAATATAGTGTCATAATATGGCGGAGATGTGTTATCGTTACATGACTATTAAAACATTAAATAAACATTTTAAAAATCATTCTTCGCCATAGTCAGCATTATTCTAACTCTATGACAGCAGTCTGTAAATAACTGAGCCCTGAAAATATATTATTAAAATCTACGTGGAGATGAGACAATAACATTCTGTTATTGACGGTACAGTTATGATGTGGGCAGAGTTGACTATTCAAGATTATTATTGACAGAGAGTTAGTATGGTTTTACGCCGCTTTTAACAATATTCCAGCAAAATCACAGCGGGGATAACAGAACTAGGCTTCATACATTGGACCCATGTGGGGAAGCGAACTCGAGCCTTCGACGTGACGAGGGAAGACCCGGGTTCGATTCCCCACATACGTACAATGTGTGAAGTCCATTTCTGGTGTCCCCCTCCGTGATGTTGCTGGAATATTGCTAAAAGCGGCGTAAAACTATATCCACTCACTTAGAGACTAGGTGTTAGTGTATTCATAACGGTGAAAGAAGATTCACACAAAAAAACATCCCCTTACCTTGCATGAAAAAACCCATACTTCTTGAACTCCTATTGGAGTTGGCCAGGAATAATAGTTCACATTTTCTAACGAAAAACGAACCTGTGGTTGGTATTACAACATGGGCAACCTATTAGTCTCACAGTTCCTGAACCGCATTATTTCCCCTTCCTCCAAGCCCTTTCTGCCATTCTAAAGCCCAAAATGAAGCAAGTCTATATTTTCTCAGGTCTGAATCTCCCATCTCACTTGGCCATTTTCAATTTAAAAGGAATTATTTGTTTCTATCCAAATTGTACGTATTCAGAGACGTTTGTCTGGGGTAACCTGGAGTCACCGAGAATGACCACCCACATCTCCGATCAAGCATTGATTGATGACTGGGGACCTATTCTTATCTAGTATCAAACAAGGAGTAGAAACCTAGTACCAAGGACAAACTGCGGAGTAGAAACCCACTCCATGAATGAAGTGGGTGTTTTTAAGAAACCAGAGTACAACTTACAACGCATGTTGACATCAGCGCCGATCATACGCACGTGTCAGCGCTTAATGTGGAATTGTCCATGAATGTGCTAGCGCTAAAAATAGAAAGGTAACCTTTGTGGTGAAACTAAGAGTACATACCTGAAGAACAGTGAATAGTCATTCATCCATAGTTAAACGCTGTCAGTTTTCTGACGCATTAACCCCAATATGTGACACTCCTTCCTGTTGTGTTGAACGGCTGTATAGACTAAATGAAGGCAACAGCCTGGACATGTTTGATTAAGCTAACTAGGGTTTCCCTGACGCTGATCTATTTATAGCATTGCATTCAATGACGTGTGTCTCTGTACAGAGGTTCCGCATATTGTCATTGTGGTTGTAATTGATACCTGATCACTGGTAAACATTTAGTAAATTTGGAGTTGTGCATTTGTAGTTCTCAATTAGCCGAGGTACAGTTGCCTGCTATGGATGTTACTGATGCTGTATCACGGGCGCCTGTACTCGCCGCCAGCGCACAGAGACGACGACCAGGAAGTGAAATATCTCGCCACACGCAGCATAGTCAACCGACTCAGGAGAAGGAGAAACTCGGTAGGAGGTTGAGAACATTCGACAACTGGACAGGGACGGTTAAATCATTACAGCTCGCTATTGCGGGGTTTATGCTGATCGGCCCTGGGGACAAAGTGGAATGTGACACCTGCAAGGTTAAACTGTACAACTGGACGGAGACAGATGTCCCCCTTGACGTACATCGGAAATACTCCCCAGACTGCAGCTTCCTCAAGAAGTGGTTTCCTGCGCTTACGCCTACGCTACGATCTGGATATGATGTTACCAAGGCAAAGTATAGCGATTTTGTTGAACAGGTAAAGAGACTGGGCACGTTTGAAGCGTGGCCCCTTAAACTGGATATTCAATCTCCTCCAAACATGGCTGCCGCCGGGTTTTTTCTATATCGGCTCTGCAGACCGAGCTCGGTGCTTCTACTGCGGGCTGACATTAAGGGACTGGGATACTGATGATGATCCGTTTGATGCGCATCTCCAGTGGTCTCCAAGATGTGAGTATATAAAACACGCCCACAACAGCAAACGGGGGGGATGGAATTGACATGAGGTCACAGGATCCACGACACGATGGAGCGTCTTGTGCACAAAACAAACCTGTTGTGGTTGCTGCAAATCATGGATCCAGGGACAAAGACGGACCTGGAACCGGATGTCCCACAAAGGTTCACGCAGGTGCTCCTCCAAGTAAACCAAGACACTCCCCACAGGTAGAGGCGGTGCATACCATGGGAATCTCATATGAGCTGATTCAGCAAGCTGTTGCATCAAGGAGTACAGGGGATGACTTTCCTGACGCCACGTCGTTATATCTGGCGGTGGAGGAACTGATGGGAAACTGACGATGATGCTGATGCAGTTTTCTGTTTGAGTTTTGTTTGTTTGTAGAACTGCAACAGTCACGGCATTGTCGTTCCGTGTTATTAACTGTCCTGAAGCGAGAAAATAGACTTTCCTTGATTTACCACAGTTTACTTGGGTGCTTTGTTTCTAATACAGACGATGTCGTTTAGAAGTGGAACAAATAACACCATCCCGTTATAGAACCCTGTGACCCGTGAAAGACTGACGTGCTGAGAAAAGAGAGTGAATGTTGTTTAACACCGCACTAGTTGACGACGACCTGTCCATGCTGGAGTCATGACCGGGGTAGCGCAGTGGTTAAAGCGTTCGCTCGTCCCGCCGAAGGTCCGGTTTCGATTGCACACATGTGTACAATGTGTGAAACCCATTTCTTATGCCCCCCGCAGTGATATTGCTGGAATAAAAGCGGCGTAAAACCCAAGTCACTCACTTACTCGAGTCATCACCAAGCAGTGGTTGATAATATGAGCCAGTTCCCTGTTCTCACCTAGAATCAAGACGGACATTTTATTATACCGTATTTCTTTAATAAGCGCCGTATGCAACGCCGCGTCAATGTGTTTGTGAACTTTACATAAGGCGTCGTTATTAAGTTATAAAGTATAATCTGTAATTGTATTCAAGAAAAACATGAAACGGGTATGAGAGTAATTCGTGTAGTGTCATTATTTTGTGGATTTCTCTACAGTTGTAAATAAATATATACACATCCTGTGTGTTGTCCTATGTACCCTGTCCTATGTACCATGTCTGCTGTCCTATGTACCCTATCCTATTTGCCCTGTGTGTTATCCTATGTACACTGTCCTATGTACACTGTCCTATGTACACTGTGTGCTGTCCTATGTACCCTGTGTGTTGTCCTATCTACCCTGTCCTATGTAGCCTGTGTGCTGTCCTATGTACCCTGTGTGTTATCCTATGTACCCTGTGTGTTGTCTTATGTACACTGTGTGCTGTCCTATGTACCCTGTGTTTTATCCTATGTACCCTGTCCTATGTACCCTGTGTGTTGTCTAATGTACCATGTGTGCTGTCCTATGTACTCTGTGTGTTATCCTATCTACCTGTCCTATGTACCATGTGTGCTGTCCTATGTACCCTGTGTGTTATCCTATGTACCCTGTGTGTTATCCTATGTACCCTGTGTGCTGTCCTATGTACCCTGTGTGTTATCCTATGTACCCTGTGTGTTATCCTATGTACACTTAGGAGATAAACGTACTGTGTTTGGAAATTAGATGAATGTTAGACCGAATTGATAGTCTCTAAATTTCATTTGAAGCCGAACGCGTAGCGTGAGGTTTCAAATGATTAATTTAGAGACTATCAATTCGGTCTAACATTCATCACATTCCAAACACAGTATGTTTATTTCCATTCTACCATAACCGATTTAACATCGAACTTCCTCGTCCTGCGGAAGACACTGCGTAATCCGGCATGGGACGAGAGGCGAATTGAACTCGTCTGTGAAGGGTGAGTGAGTGAGCATGGTTTTACGCCGCTTTTAGCAATATTCCAGCAATATCACGGCGGGAGACACCAGAAATGGGCTTCACACATTGTGCCCATGAGGGGAATCGAACCCGGGTCCTCGGCGTGATCTGTGAAGGGAGTGGTAGGTGCCGTTCGTATCTTTTTTAACATTGCAACATAAAAAATATTCTGTCCAAAGAAAACAAACTACTGTTTATTCAATGCAATAATGTAACACCTAAGAGCTTGGTTTTTATAATCATAACTCCACACGACCGAAACGAGCCTATTGTTTTGTGTGCCGTGTTACTGTACTCCCCTGGCCACACTAAAATGGAATCGTCTGACCTACTTATTTTCATGGAAGTAGACAGTTACGCAACAGTTTGAAATGGCGGACGAGCCTGTGTACATTTTGCGAAAGGTTGAAATTCGAAGTGACAGTGGAAAATACTTGACTGACTGTCGAACCTGAACCCTGCAGAATCGAAGAATACATCCTTTTCTGATCGACCTATGACCTGTAACCCATCAAAGACTGTTGATTTTTATGACCGGCGAGTGTCGATCATGATTTCACGTACGTACCTCCACCCCGGCAGGCGACGAAAGAGTGACAGTGCTGCTTTGTGTACATGCGACTGACTTGGGATTCCTTGGAACATTGTTCTCATCATTTTGGACTGGATTATGGCCAAGCTTTTCAAAGTGTACGAACATAGCAGTGACAGCCTTGCGGGGAAGGTGGTAGAGAGCGGAATTCTCGTGGTTCAATTTTATGTCATGAACGGGACTCGATGGAGTATGAGTGGCATAATTTTTTGTTTCGCCTGACCGTTATCTTGCTAATTTCCCATTCTGAACGGAAACAAATATACCATTTACCAGGTAGGTAAATGTTTACGAACGTTTTGCCGCACAAATATGGATAGATAGGGATGTATTTTATACAAGGTTTTCTTATTTATATGTTAGATATTGTTTGTTTATGTTTGGAGCTGTGTATTGTAATTGAGTTTGAATATTTTTATAATAGAAGATAATAATTATGATAGTGAGGTTCCCTAATAATTGTGGTGGAGAAATCATATAATTGTATTTTTCGAGTTTTAATAAATGTTTCATCAGCATTTCCATCACGTCTGTTGTGTTGAAATTAGTCATGTTGGTGGCCAAGCTGAAGTAGTGCGGCAGTGTTGTATACGTGTGCAGTGAAGTGCCGTGAAATTAGACGCATTTTCAATCCAAATTGATACCGTCTGATTTTATTGATTGACCAATCAAATTCGAGCATTTCACGTAGCCATGGTAGAATGTCCTATGTACACTGTGTGCTGTCCATATACATTAATTGTTATCTTGAAACGATTCAGGTTTGTACTGTGTTCATTAATCCCGACCAACTGTCGTATCCTTACACTGACAGGCGAGCTCTTTTCAAGATTACTAATGTCTGGCAAATCTCAATACTTTATAGGAGTATCGACTGTGCATGGTATCACATTTTCATGTATTGTGATACATTCGTACATCTGGTGGGACTGTCTACTCAGCCGGGGCGGTGGGGTAGCCTAGTGGTTGAAGCGTTGGCTCGTCACGCCGAAGACCCGGGTTCGAATCCCTACATGGGAACAATGTGTGAAGCCCATTTCTGGTGTTCCCCGCCGTGATGTTGCTGGAATATTGCTAAAAGCGGCGTAACATCAAACTCAGTCAGTCAGTCTACTTAGCCTATTTGGAAAGGCTTATCTCTTATTTCCATAAGAAAATTGAAACTCCATAAGAAAATTTAAACTCCAGTGATAAGAGTTTGCAAAAATGTTATTCGCAATTGAATGAAATCAAGTTCATCATAACTAATACCCCCATTTCACTGGGCTACGATCGGTCCCGATTGCATTTTTTTAAATCGTATAATATCGGAAATGTACCTGGAGTAGTCGACAGAGATCAGCAAGATACTTGAGTGTGAGTGCATAATCTGGAAGTGATTTTTTAATCGGCCCAAGATTTTGAACAGGTTCAAAAACTTGAGCCGATTGAAAAAAGTCGTAAGTTATGCGTGACTGATCGGGATAGTCGCCAGTGTGTCGGGAGTTAATCGGGAATGCATCGGTAAGTATCATGAGCAATCTGCTTAACCATAGGTGAAGCGTGAACGAGTCGTACCATTATTGAGAGGCAGAAACGGCCACGTGTCATTCCCGTAATGCCACGCTTCACACCTGATCAACCACGATTAACTCCCGACACATCCCCAACATGGAACCGACAGGCTTATTGCCAAACAAAGCAGAGCTGTCAAAGCCACGCATCAGCACGATTTCTCCCAAATAAGACACGATCCACTTACGTAATGTTCACGCTCTACACACGATTTGCACGATTCACATCTGACTGACAGCAAAGGCATAAAAGCACCGGCGATCACAGTCAATATCACTTCAACTGCTGTAATGGAAACATTGAAACATGGCAAGAACAAAGAGATCAGCCAACAGGAAGATCACCCACCCCACCACCAGAAGAAAGCCAGGATGCGCTTTCTCAGGACGAGCCTCCACAATCAATGGAGGAGCACTTAGACACTGCCGTGGGTCCCGCCAAGAAGCCGAGGGTAGTGGTGAAGCTGACCCCAGCTGAAGAGACAGACATGGTCTGCTTCATACGAAACGACCCCTCCCTCTACAACAAAAAGTTGAGAGCGTGGACAGAACGACCCCTGAAAGAGAAACTGTGGCTGGATCAGGCAGAGAAGCTTCACAGGACAGTTGCGGAAATAAAGACCTGGTACGACCAAGTCGGGACAGGGGGATGTGGAACTCTCCGAGAGAGACCAGTGGATTTATGACAGCTTCAGTTTCCTCTGTCCACATATAATCGTGGGCCAGAGACGTAACATGGTGTCCCTCAAGAAAAAGATTGCTGCAGCTGCTGGGGTAACACAAGAATCCCAACCCGCCACATCTGCTGCAGATGATATCCTACCAATCGAGGAAGAGATTCCAAAGACTCAGAAAACCCCCAGTGTCACCATGCCCGTCTCCGCACCATCCACTCTCACAGATTCGACCAGAGGGAAGCCCAATCCCAGGAGCGGCGGTCCAGAC